TTTTATTTTTACTTAAAAATTTCCACCTCCTCCAGTCCTCCCATTTCCCTCCTCCATATCCCTACTTATCCTCCCCTTCCCTCTCCAGTCCAAAGAGCAGTCAGGGTTCCCTGCTCTGTGGGAAGAAGTCCAAGGTCCTCCCCCCTCCATCCAGGTCTAGGAAGGTGATCATCCAAACAGGCTAGGCTCCCACAAAGCCAGTTCATGCAGAATATACTTTTTAACGACACCTCATGAAACCTTCTCTAAAAATGCCCATATACTTGGTCACAAAGCAAATGTCAACAGACACAAAAATTGGAAGAACATCATGTATCTTATCAGATCCCAAAAAATTAAAGTTGGATCTCAACAAGAATAGAAACTACAGAAAATGTATAAGCTGAAAGAAACTGAATAGCTCTCTACTAAGATGCCACTAAGTCAAGAAGGAAATAAGAACGAATGTACAATATATCTGAACTTATGGAATACTATGAAAGTGTAATAATAAGAAAGTTCGTAGCACTGAAGACTTATATGAAAAAAATTAGAGTAATCTCACAACAGTGGTTTAACAGCATAGTGGATAGTTCAAGAACAAAAAGAAACAAACACACCTGAGAGGAGTAGATGACAGGGAATAATCAAAATGAGGATGAAATCAATAAAATTAAAAAAAATAAAAAACAAATAGTTGTTTCCTTCTAAAATCAAAAAGATAGACAAACACATATCCAAACTAATGAAAAAATTCAGAGAATATATAAATTTACACGCCAGAAATGAAAAGGGAGACTAACAAAACATTGAGAAAATCTAGAGAATAATTAAAATGATTCTTCAAAAGTCTGTACTCCACAAGTTGAAAAATCTAAAGAGATGCAATTTAAATAGACCTATAACCTCTAAAGACATAGAAGCACTCACTTAAAGTATTCCAACCAAAAAAAAAAAAAAATCCCAGGAGAAAACAGTTTTTAATGTAGAATTCAACTAGACCTTTAGTTGAATGGTATTAGAAGAGCTAATACCATTATGCCAAGTTATTCCACAAGATAAAAGAAACATTGCCAAATTCTTGTATGAGGCCACAGTCATGCTGGCACCCAAATTACAAAAAGACTCAACCAAGAATAATTATAGACCAACTGCTTTCATGACTTTGATGTAAAAATACCCAACAACATCAAAAGATCTACCATAGTCAAGAAGGCTTCCTCCCAGAGATGAAGGGATGGTTCAACTGATGAAAATCTGCCATATAAACAAACTAAAAAAGACACATAATCATTTCACTAGATGCTGGGGGAGGGGGAGCCTTTGACAAAATCTAAACCCCCTTCATGATCAAAGTCTTAGAGAGATCAAAGATACAAGAGACATACTTAAACATAATAAAGCAATATACATCAAGCCATAGCCAACATCAAATGAAAGAAACTCAACATAATTCCATAAAAACAAGAACAAGACAAGGCTGCGTCCACTCTCTCCATATCTCTTCAACATAGTACTTGAGAAGTTCTAGCTAGAGGAATAAGACAAGAAAAGATCAAAAGGTTACAAATTACAAAGGAAGAAGTCAAAGTACCACAATTTGCAGATGATACGATAGTATACATGAGCAATCCCAAAAATTCTGGGAGCTGGTAAACACCTTCAGTCAAGTGGTTGGCTACAATATTAACTTAAAACAAACAAACAAACAAAAACGAGTAGCCTTCCTATAAACAAATGATAAAGAAACTACAAAATCAGAAAAACAATACACCTTTCACAATAGCCACAAACAATATAAAATATCTTGGTGTGATGCTACCAAGCAAGACCCATAAAGCAAGAATTCGAGTCTTTGATGAAAGAAATCAGAAGACTGGAAGATGTCTCATGCTCAAGGATCAGTACAATTAACATAGTAAAAAATGGCCATCTTACTAAAAGCAATCTACAAATTCAACACAATCCCCATCAAAAACCCAACACAATTCTTTACAGAACTCGAAGGAACTCAACTTCAGATGGAAAAACAAAAATCCCAGGATAGCCAAAACAATCCTGTACAATTAGAGAACTTCCAGAGGCATCACAAAGTATCACCTACTTTTTAAAAAGAAGCTAAAAGTATAAGCATCTGCCACAAATAATGCTGACCGAACTGGATGTATGTATTTAGAAAAAAATGCAACTAGAGGTCTATCTATTGTAAAAAACTGTAAAAAACTCAAACCCAGGAGGATCAAAGACCTCAACAAGCTCCAGTTACACTGCCCCTGATGAAAGACAAATGGGAAGTATCCTTGAATGCTCGGGCACAGTAGACAACTTCCTGAACAAAACATTAATAGTTCACAATCTAAGATGAACAACTAATAAATGGAACCTCATAAAACTGAATAGCTTCTATAAGCCAAAGGATGCTATCAATAACAGCAGCCTACATCGTGGGAAAAGATCTTCATAAATCCCACATCTCACAGAGAGCTGATCACTAAAATATGAAAAGAATCCAAGAAACTAATCATCAAAAAATAATAATAACCCAAATTAAAAATGGGTTCTAAACAGAAAATTCTCAATAAAAGAATCTCAAATGGCTGAGATAGACTTATAGAAATGCTCAACATCCTTAGCTATCAGAGAAATACAAATCAAAACAAGATTCCATTTTATACCTTTCAGAATGGCTAATATAAAAACACAAGTGGCCGCTTACGCTGGAAATAATGTGGGATAAGGGGAATGCTTCTATATTGAAGGAATGAAAATTTGTACAGCCACTTTGGAAATCAGTATGGAGGCACCCTAGAAAATTGAGACTTGATCTACCTCAAGACTCAGCATATACCCAAAGAATGCCCAATCATACTACAGGGACACTTGCTCAACTGTGTTCACAGCAGCATTATTTGTAATAGCAAGAACCTGGAAACAACCTAGATGCCCCTTCAAAGAGGAATGGATAAAGAAAACAAGGTACATTTACACAGTGGACTACTATTCAACTATTAAACACAATGACATCATGAAATTTGAAGGCAAATGGACGGAACTAGGTGAGGAACTAAGTGAGGAACACAGACCCGGAAAGACAAGCATGATATGTACTCACTCATAAGTGATTATTAGCTATAAGGTAAAAGATGACTATGTTATAAAATACTGGCCCAGAGAAGCTAGGTAATAAGGAAGGTTCATGCAGAGATGTCCAGATGTCCTTAGGAAGGGTAAATAGAGATCTCATGGGTAGACTGGAGATAGATGGGGATGGAAACATAAGGGAAGAGGAGAGGAGTGGAAAGTACTGAAATAGAGACTGGGAAGAAGACAAGTCAGAGTCACGGTAGAAACCTATAAGAAGGACCCCACGCTAAGATTCCCAGCAATAGATTCCTCAGAAGCAAGTTTGTTTTCTAATGAGAGACAGAAAGAGTTTTTATCCAAATAGGGAAAGTGGAGGAGAGGTGGGGACTGGGAGGTATAGAGAGAAGTGAAACCATAACCAGGACATATTATGAGAGAAAAACTCAATTTTCAATAAAAGAAAAAAATGATCAAATGATATAACTGAAAAAAAAAAGATTCCCAGCAATAGGAGATACATAGCCTGAACAAGCAAAATCTATTGCCTGTGACCATGCAAGACTTTCAGTGGAGGGACTGGGGCACCAACCTAGCCCCACAATCTTCAACTTACAGTGTGTCCTGCTGATGGGGTTATACTAAGGTAAGGGTGGCACTGAAATTGTGAGAGTGTCCAACCAATAATTGGTCCAGTCTGAGATGCATGCCACAGAGTAAGCCCACCCCAGACACTGCTTGGATTGTCAGGACTCAGGTAGCCCAAAAATTGGGCTAGAACCAAAAACAGTGGGAGATTAAAAAGAGAGATGTCAGATGTCAGTCAAGCCTAACAATATTCTGCTACAGTCATAGATAGTTGACTAGTCAAATAGTCATCAGAGAGATAGAAAGGAAAGGACTATAGAAGTTAGAGGTGTCATGGACATCACAAGAAGACTCATAGAACCAACTAACCTAGGTTAACAGGGGTTTACAGAGCCTAAACCAACAACCAGGGAACCTATAGGCATCTATCTTTCTTACATGGGCATTCTGCATATATATGACATTTGTGTTGCTTGACATTCTTGTGAGAGCAGAGGCTGTTCCTAATACAAAGGCAGGCTTTTGGACCGTGGATCACTTTGCCCAGCATTAATACATGAGTAAAGTGCTTAGTCTTATTGCAACGTGACATGCCATGCTTTATCAATATCCATGGGAGGCCTGCATTTTTCTAAATAGAAACAGAGGGGGAGTAAATAGGGAGGGAAACAGAAAGAGAGATTAGGGTAATGGAAAGGGTGGAAAAGGGGGAAACTGTGGCCGGGTAGAAAAATAAATAAACAAATGGCACAACAAAAAATTAAACATAAAAATAAATAAATGAACAAATAGTTGAGGGGGAGAATAAAGACAGAAAGCACCAGGTGGTAGCACATGGTTTTACTCTCAGCATTTGAGAAACAAGGCAAATGAATCTGAGCTCAAGGCCAGTCTAGTCTACAAAGTGATTTTTCAAGACAGCAAGGGATACAGAGAGAAACCCTGTTCCAGGAGAGAGGTGAAAAAAGAGACAGACAGAGAGAGAGAGAGAGAGAGAGAGAGAGAGAGACAGAGAGACAGAGAGACAGAGAGCACAGACTATGAAGTACCATTACTTCTACCCAAGATAAATATAAAAACAAAGGCTATTTCCTCAATTGTTTCCAAATAATATAATTATACAATAAACAAAGGTAGAATAAAGAGAAAGAGAAGAGAGAAAGCAAAAAACTATACTTAAGGGACTTCAGGTTAGTACATCAAGGCTGAAATCTGAGCTCAATCAACACTCTGTTGTAGAATAAAGTAACCAACAAGTGCAAGTGGTCCTCTGACTTGCACACACGTAATATGGCATATATACATTTTTTCCAATATAAATAAAAGTAATTGAAGAACAATTAAGGACTTACTTAATCATTTCAAAAAGTTTTGGATCTGATACTTTGATATTTCGTGCCATATTCCATGAAAGGTGAACCATAGGTACCACTGACTTGACACTTTGCAACTTGTTCCATTCATACCGTTCAACTGCTAATTTATACTGAAAAGCTAAGAAGAAAATAAAATGTTACAAAGAAACAAAAATAATACATATTAGAAAACCTATTATCATATCCTACCTAATAAGTCCATCAATTCTGAAAAATCTAAAGGCATTAGTAGATTATGTTGAGATACTAATAGTTTAAAAATGATCATGTATATAGTGTAACCATCATTAGCTTATCATGTAATGTAATAAACAGTCTCAATTTAAGGTATTATGCTAAGTTGTTTTTACAGTTTTATATTTCATCTTTTAAAATTTGTTTTGTATTTTTCAATCTACCCATAGTAGAAAATGAACTGAGGGCCCAGGGATTAAAAACAACTAGTACAAAGGTGTTAAATATATGTCCATTTTTGGCCCTTTTACTGTTGAAGGGCAGACTTATGTATATTAATCAGAAACACATATAATAAGGTTTCCTATATTTCATCAAATAAAAATTCTGAAGAACAAGAGCTGGAGAGACAGCTCAGTGGTTAAGAGCATTTGTACTTTCTGCAGTTAAAGCAAGCTTCAGTTCCCATCACAGACAAGGCAGGTCATCTGTCTAGAACACTAGCCCCATAAAATCCTCTTCCAACATTTGGAGTTACAAGACATATATCAGACATAGATGCAAGCAAAATTCTCATATATGTAAAATAAATAAGTTTTAAAAAAATCTTAAGAATAACTGCAAGTGTTTTAGAAGTCTCTAAAGAAATATATGAAAATGAAGCAAAGAACTCTACACATTAAATGGGCAACATTCTAATGTACACAGAAAAAAATTCACTACTTTGTTAAAATCTATTATTAGAATGCCATTTGTTAATTAATCTCTACATTTCTTACTTTAACGGAGTTATTTGGTAACACAAAACAAAACATGTAAGGAATGATCTATAAAATAATAATCTTATTGGTGTGCTACGTTAAATACCTGTGAGTGGACCAACATTCCAGGCAATGTTATTACACCACCCAATAGCCTGAACCCAATGGACAGTGCCTGCATTGATCCAAACTAAATCTCCAGGTCGCTGAATAAACCTATACACAGGAACATTTGCTTCATAAAGATCTTCAAGGTTTGGCCACCATGAGCTCATCTGGAAATTCAAATTATTTCTGGGAAAGGAAGAAATACAAAGAGTCAAATATTTATAGACTTATAAAAGGCAAAGTAATCACAAAAAGTTAAAAAAAATGCTATTAGTATTTCATTAAAATGTTGAACTGGGAAGTAGTGGAAGAGCTGCATTTCTTTTTGAAAAGTGAAGACATCAAGCCTAAAAAGATTAAATACTTCATCTGATCTACAACTGATTGCTGATTTATCTAAAGAGCAAAGTTTACTTTTATTAAACATCATATTCAACATTAACACTGAGACCCACAAGAAAATTTGTAGTGAGAGAATTAGTTCTAAATGGGATGTCATCATCAAAGCCCTTCCCTCAAAGCTCAGGAACCCATGCAAAAAAGAAGGTACAAAGATTTTAAGAGCCAAAGAGGGTGGGTGAATTCAAGGAAACAGTGTCGTCCATACACAACAGAATGGGCACACAGATACTGTGTCAAATGCACAGGGTCTGTGTTAAGCCATTCCAGACTGGATTCCAGGGCGGAAAGTTCAAGTGAAAATAAGTCACTTCACTAATATACTAGCTCAATGATATTTTGATAGGCTGTTTTGTTTTGCTTTGTCTTGGCTTTTTTCTTTCCCTTTTATTAATTTTTGGTTTATTGTTCTTTTGTCTATTTTTTCTGATTTTCATTTTTGTGGATCAGTGATTTATATAAATAAGTAGTATACAAATTTTTAACTAGAGTCATTGACTACAATCACAAAGGTACATAATGAGCACCAGAACCTCCAGAGAAATTAGAAACTTGCCCTAGAGCTATTCTAAATTATTATCAGAAAGAAAGAAAGAAAGAAAGAAAGAAAGAAAGAAAGAAAGAAAGAAAGAAAGAAAGAAAGAAAGGAAGAAAACAATGGACAATAAGTATTTCTAGGATTCTAGCAAATTCATTGACTTAAATAAAACAGAAAAAGTATCCCAAGCATTACATTTATGAAAAATAATATACAAAACATGAACATACATGTTCTAGCAACATCACCGGTATCACTAATAAGTTACACAGATCATTTAAATGTATTATTATGACTTTCATTGAAACATAAAAATCCAAAACACTTTACAGGTCTCATTGGACCTGAACTCAAGAAGCCATTTCCACTTTCTTGTTTTTAATTACAATCTGTCAAATCTGAGAGGAAATGGAGAGGTTCCCTATAGGAACCTGCTTGCAGTGTCCTCTCCTTGCACTCTACCTCCATTCCTTATGATCTCCAAGAACCACACAGCAGATCCAGCTTTGCTCCTTCTTCCCACCCTGTTGTAGGTGGTCTACAAACACTCTCCAAGAATCCAGTGACCACACTGTACTGAGATTCAGGAAGGTGACCATCCTCTCTGTCTAGTGCTCCTTACAAATCTCTGTAGTTTATTCTCAGCCCTGTAGCAGACTGCTGGTAGGGGTTCCATTCCTGGGGCTAGGGGTGACAGGACAATGGAGACTTCATAAAATTTTGGTGTCAAACTAGCCTTCCTTCCAACTTCTGCTGGATCCTCTCACACACACCCCAATTCTAGCTCAACCAAACTCCTTCCAATCAGCCTATTATACTTAAAAAACACTTTTTCCCAGAAACCCGAGTGACCTCACTAGATAGAGACTCAGAAGAATCATACTATCCTTAGTATTCTCCTTTACAGTATCTCCAATATCACCCTCAATCCACTAACAAACTACTTATAAGTCTCCAACAACCTGTTCAACTCCATTCAATGAGTCTAACTCTTGGTTCAGGCCCAGGACCCCTAGTACTTTCATCACTGTCATCCAAGATAATTCTTTGCCTTGTTATAACCTACTTATAGGATCCCCATATTTCCCACCACACTTAAAACTTCGTATGGACCCTGACACTAGGTGTAAACAGGATCCCCTTAATTCTTTCTTGAAGCCCCACTGTTTCTGGCCCATTTTTATTCCTCTCTGCTACCTAAGTACACACCAGGTAGAAGACCAATATCCAAAATAGGTAAAGAATAACAATGAAAATCTACAAAGAAAAAAATATGTAGAAAAATATCAAGAAAAAAACTAATCCAATTCAAATCAAGTAACAGATTTGAACAAAGAATTCTCAATAGAAGAAATTCAAAGGACTTAGAAACACTGAAAATGTTCGATAGTCTTAGCCATCAGGGAAATACAATCAAAATTACTTTGGAATTTCCTCTTACACTAATCAAGAAAACCATTAACACCATATGTTGGCCAGGACAGAAATAAGGGATAATAATTGATGGATGGTGGAAGTGCAAACTTGTACAGCAACTGTAGAATCTGTGTGGTGGTTTCCTCAGAAAGATGGGACTCTGTTAACAGCAAGATCAGCTATAACAATCTTGGGTATATATGTTAAGAATTCTATAACCTACATCAAGGACATTTATTCAAACATATTTATTGCTGTTCTAGTCATAACAACCAGAAATTGAAAGCAACCTATATGTCTCTCAGCAGATGAAGGGATAAAGAAAATAGTACTAAAATGGTACATATACTCTACTAGAGGAGGTAAACATCATGATAAACCCTTGAGCCTACACAATGGCAACCTGCCAGCAAAATATATTAAAACAATAATGGCACAAAAGTTGTAGGAGTAAACAAATGCTATCTGATTGAAATTAAAATCCTCTACATGAGACAGAACCCATGGCCAAAACTGTGTGGATGGGCAAGATGCTAAGATGTCTAGGTCACAGGCCTTGGGGAAATCCAAATACTACAGTTTTGATGTGGATTTCCCCTCTGGATGCAGTATATACCATTGGTTAATACAGAAACTGGCCTGATAGGAGAGAGTAGAGACGGTGGGAAAAACTAAATGAAATACTGGGAGAAGGAAGGTGGAGTAAAAAGAGAAGCCATTTGAAACTTTGCCAGTAGGCCACGATCTCATTGTAAAATATAAAATAATGGAGATGGGTTAATTCTAGATGTAAGAGCTAGCTAGCAATATGCTTAAGTAATTGGCCAACCACTGATATATTTCATGCAGTTTCTGTGTGGTTATTTTGGGTCTGAGCTGCCAGGAGGCAAGGAAACAAACAAGTGGCCTCCTACTATACAGTTTTTCTAAAGCAATTTAACAATAAACAATTCTGGGGCTGGAGAGATGGCTCAGTGGTTAAGAGCATTGCCTGCTCTTCCAAAAGTCCTGAGTTCAAGTCTCGGCAACCACATGGTGACTCACAACCATCTGTAATGAGGGCTAGTGCCCTCTTCTGGCCTGCAGACATACACACAGACAGAATATTGTATACATAACAAATAAACAAATACATATTTAAAAATAAATAAATAAACAATTCCTATCAACATTCTGCTATACTCATAGATCTTTGTTTCACTCAGACACAAACATAGAAACACAACTGGACAATAGAGTAAGAGACCTTAGATCACCATCAAATCCCTCCCTCCTAAATTTAGGCTTAGGGAATCCTGTGGAAAAGGAGACATAAAAATTTGAAGAACTGCAGGGGGTAAGGAACAATAGGAAAACAAGACTTGCTTAAACACTGCTAGACTAACACATATAGTGCTATAGTTGCATGCTCAAGGCCTATACAAGTCCAAGGCAGAAAGTGTCTCATTGCTGAGATGGGAAGTAGGCACAAGATCCATTACAAACATAGAAGGTACCTCTAATTGATGACTGTTTGCAAAGAAAAAATTGGGTTTCTTTTCTTTTTCTTTCTTTTTTATACCCACCCTCCTGCAAGCAACTCCTCATCCACAGTATTAAAAGTAATCCCAGGCGAGGCGGTGGTGGCTCACGCCTTTAATCCCAGCACTCGGGAGGCAGAGGTAGGTGGATCTCTGGGAGTTCGAGGCCAGCCTGGTCTACAAGAGCTAGTTCCGGGACAGGCACCAAAGCTACAGAGAAAGCCTGTCTCAAAAAAAAAAGTAATCCCAATAAATTCATTGGTTCTCCAAGCTAGTCTTTGGTAGAATCATTTCTTTAATCTGTCATTAGTGCACTATAAGGGGTAAAAGCTGTTTCTCATGCCTCCCAAAAAGTCACATAAATCCCTAATGGAAAATGTACAACAGTAAATAATAACTGACCCTCACACTAAGAAACTCAGCCTTTTATTTATTTATTTATTCTCCACAGTTGTTTTCACCTTTCTTTAAAATAAATTTATTTCTGAAACCTACTTTTCACAGAATTCATTCAGAACACCCCAATAATCTTCAGGTACAACAAACCACTCACAATCACCTGGACCAATATTTATGTTAACAGAACAGAAGTTGTTATTTTCTTGGTGACCTGAAAAGAAAAGGGAAATTGAAGTCATAACAGTACTGTAATTATACGACTGGGATTACAGTTAGTTACCACACCAGCTCATCTTTTTACATGCATGTGTCTGGGCATCCAAATTCAGATCTTGAAACTTGTAAAAGTGCTTTATAATCAGACCTTCAAGAAGTGTGTATGTGTGTGTGTGTGTGTTTCCTCACCTGTGTACCCAAGAGGCAAATAACTGACTTAACAATGGCAAACGACATATTGTTTCTTAACATAATTCAGTGTAAGATGGAATTCTGAATCTACTATCATCAACTCTAACTAGCTACAAAAATCATGTTGTGGCCTTAAAATTATTTCTTAAAAAGGTCACAAAATTTTTACATATTTAAGACTATATTCAGATGGAAGAATATACTTCAACTTGAATACAAAACAATCTTTCAAATAAAATTTCATCAGAAGTTAGGAAGATAAATTGGTTAGGAAGGTGTTGGACTTGCAAGATTGACTCTCAGGATTCACTTTTTAAAACATCATTCCTATATGCATACACACAATCAGGAGCTGGAGTAGAAGCCTATAATCCCAGCACTTTGTAAGCAGAAGTAGAAATTCAAGCCCACCTTCTACTATTCAGACTTTCAGGTCAGTTCAGGCTATCAATCTCTTTCATATACTACATTTCCTTTCTAGTTCAAAATATATATTTAAATACCATTTTCACACTTTGTCAGCATATAACTTTCATATTCAAATTAGACCACTTGCTAAAAAAATTAACAAGGATAAAAATTTCTATATCTGAACATTTACATAAACACAAGGTTTCCTTGAAGGTTTATATTTTGTTTTTCTAATTATATTTTACCTGGCATAGGAAAAGAATTTAAAACACTTTGGTATAATGATAAAATGAGCTCCCACATTAGAATCATTATAGACATTATATTACCTTCCTAATAAAGATAAAACTAATCTTGAACAACAAATAACTACAGAACTATAAAACTGAAATAGAAAATAAAAAAGCAGCTCAAGTATGTGCTCAATAAAACATGTTTATAAATTCATAGCTGTATTTAGCAGCCTCATTCCACGCCAAAAAAATTCCATTTGCCTCTTGGGTACACAGGTGAGGAAACACACACACACACACACACACACACACACACACACACACATACACTTCTTGAAGGTCTGATTATAAAGCACTTCTACAAGTTTCAAGATCTGAATTTGGATTCAAGACATGGACTTGAAAAGGAGGTTAAAAACACTGGCTACTCTTCCAGTGACCCAGGTTACAATTCCCAATATCCTGATGGAAACTCATCTGTAATGCCCACGGTTAGGATGCATTCTTCTAGATCCTGAGGTCACTGTATACATATGATACATATACATAAATCTAAGTAAAACAAGCATAACATTATTTAAAAGTAACGCTGTATAATTTTAGGAAATAAATGATTTAGTACCTCTGTCTAGTTTTTAAATGTTCCTGTCATAGGGAAAGATTTTTAAACACTTTGGAAAAATAATAATATGGGTTTTGTAATTAGAATCATTATAGATATTAGAAACATAAAGAACATATAATATTTCAATAGTTTTGTTTAATAAATTATTAAACAAATAATTATTAATAAATGGTAAGAAATTACTTTTATCTTTTACAAGGATGATTAATTGATTCATTTCAACTAAGAAAAATGTTTGATCATATCAATCACCTGGTATTCTACTTCCTGGAACTTTCATACAAAGTTGAACTGTGTTCATACCCAAAATGGTATAGCCAACATGGCTTAGAAGATTTCCTGCTGATACAACACGTACAAAAGCAGGAAGTTTAGTCAGCTCATGTAACTGCAACTTCCACCTGCAATAAAACAGATTTATAGTGAAACTTTCTGAAAATATTAGTGAAAATTAACTTGTTCCTGAATTGTTTTCTCATTATGCAGAAAAAGTTAATAATAAGCATTTCAAATTAATGTATTAATGAACTTATATGCCCCAAAATATCCAAAAACAAAGATCACTGAGTGCATAAAATGTATAACCTAGAAAAATAGAATAATTTATTGTCTATTTTAAAATGTTTACAGCTTAATTCTTTGGTCTTCAGTGATAAGAAAAAAGTATAATAATAAACTTGTAAAAATAATTTGAAAGTCAGGCAGTGGTAGCACACACCTTTAATCCCAGCACTTGGAAGGCAGAGGCAGGCAGATCTCAGTGAGTTTGAGGCCAGACTGGTCTACAAGAGGTAGTTCCAAGACAGTGAAAAGTTACACAGAGAAAACCTAACTAGAAAAATAATGTAATAATGATGATGATGATGATGATGATGATGATGATGATGATGAAATAATATGACATTAAATAAAAATGCTAGGCATGAAAAGGAACAGGAAAATACACATATTACAATACAGAAATCCTATTTGTTTCCATTCATACTAAGAAGACTTACTTTTTGTTATCAGACAGATCAATGTTAATCCCACATTTTATGGTTTTAAAAGGTCCTTTCCGTTTCCTCGCAGAACTAAAATGAAAATAAAAATAAAAAGTAAAAGGTGAACTCATGTCTTTAATACAAGTAAATGAATGCCCATAGTTACTTACTTCTCTGAAGATGTTGATTCAATATCTGAATAATCTTTAGCTTGCATTCTTCTTTCATTTTCTTCCTATTCATTAAACAAAACATTCACAATTATTATAACGAATTCCTATTGCATAACATAAATCAACAGATGTGAGCATTTGTGTCTATATTTTAAAAAGTAAGGAGTAGTTCAGTTATCACATTCAATAAAGCATCATTTCTTATCTTGTGGGTGGTAAGATCATATCCAGGATATCAGTTATTTACATTATGATTAATAACAGTAGCAAAATTACAGTAATAAAGTAGCAATAGAATAATTTTATGGTTGGGGTTACCATAACATGAGGCACTATATTAAAGGATTACACACAAGGAAAGTGGAGAACCACTGAAATAAAGAGTCAAAGACAGACCCCAGAACCATGATACACAGCCTCATAAAGCTTCAAAAATGAAACTTCTGTTCTAGATTCATTTACTGGAAAAACACAAAGCCATTTTAATGGTGATTCTGACACTTGCCAAAAACAAGACTGATATTTTAAAAAAGCAGACAAAACCAAATTTAAAATGGGCTTATGTACCAATACTTAAAATAAATGTCAAGTATTAAAGAATACTTCCTAAACAAAAAGAATTATTTGTATACTTACATAATCACATACTTTAGCTGTACAAAGCAAGCAACATTAAGGATGTCTTTTTTTAAATTATCATTTTGTTGTTACCTTGCTGAATCTCACTAACAAGGTTAAAACTATAAGTTCTTCAAACACTAGCTTTTTTATATAATGAATTCTATATGAATTATAAAGTTTGAGAACAATAAAGAAAACACACTGAGTAACATAGTAATTTCTTTGATATGAATAATACTACTGTAAAGAAATGGATATAAATACAGAACAAAACTGTCATAGATAAAAAATATATAAGGAATAATTACGATGTAAGAATTAAAACTATAAAAAACGGCATATCTAAATGAGAAAGTGCTCTACATTACTATTTTGTTAGAAAAATATTAAAAGAATTCACTCATTGTGAAACATGTTTGTAACACATGACATTAAAAAATAAAAACCAGGAATAGGATACCAGTATATGTCGTTAACTGCCACAAATAAGAGACAAAGGCAAAACAATTTCTGAAGTTCAAGGCTAGCTTAGTCTATGTCATTTACCCAAGTCTAATAAGAGGCTGACTTTAAAACAAAAACAACCAAACAAAAAAATGAAAAAAATCAAGTTAGCAAGATGGTTCTCCCAAAAAAAAAAAAAAAGGTTGACAATAAACCTGTCCACATAAATTCAATCACATGGACCTATATGGAAGAATGACAGAACTATTCCCATAGTTGTCTTCAAAAGTCTACAATGACTCTATAAATACATACACACATTCAAACATTCACACCCAAAATAAATAAAAATACAATGAAAAATTGTAAAACAGTATTGTTGTGGTTCAAAAGACACCCAAACCCAATGAAGTTCCTCATGAACAAAGGAATAAAGAAACAAAAAGGTTTTAACTTGAAGGACTGGTAAATAGCTACTTCTGTCAATAATAACAAATATCAGCAACCCAACAGTGATGTCCCAACTAAACTGTAAACAAATAAATTTTATACACATTTCACAAAAGATACTACACAAATGTCAACAAGAAGATACTTAGTAAAAGTTACTATAAAAATTGATGGAGGAAGGTCATTGGCTAATAAAGGAACTGCCTTGGCCCATTTTATTGGTTAGAGGATAGGTGGGAGGAGTAAACAGAACAGAACTCTGGGAGGAAGAGGAAGTGAAGTCAGTCTCGAGAGCTCTCCTCTAGGGAGCAGACGCCTGAGAGAGACGCCATGCCCCGCTCCCGGGATGAAGCTCCAACCCAGGATGGACATAGGCTAGAATCTTCCCGGTAAGCGCACCTTGGGATGCTACACACAGATGATTAGAAATGGGCTAAATTAATATGTGAGAATTAGCCTAGAAGAGAATGGGCCAAGCAGTGATTAAATGAATACAGTTTGTGTGTTGTTATTTCGGGGCATAAGCTAGCCGGGCAGGCGGCTGGGGTGTTGGGGACGCAGCCCCGCCGCCCTATTACAACTTCAAAAAAATGGCTATCAAAAGAGAACTAGTAGAAAGACAGCATAAATGTTAAATCAACCATTATTAAAATTAACATAGTAATTTCTTACAAAACCTAGCAATCATATTATATACTGTTCGAGATAAAAAAATCTATGTCCACAGAAATATCTGGGTTAGGTTATTTATAATAGTATTAGTGAGAATAGCCACAAAGGGAAACTACAATGATTTCCTTAACTAATGAATACTACTTGTCAACAGAAAAAAAAAGGAAAAAAAAAAAGGCTACTGTAATAGCCACAAAGGAAAAGAAACTTTCTGGCAAATTTGACAACTCCAGTTCAATTCCCCAAACTTGTATTGTAGAAGTAACTGACTCCTACAAACTATCCTCTGTTGAAAACATGAAAAGAATACAAATACACAGGGGTGCATGTGCATGCACACACAGAAGCATGTGTACATGTGCATGAGTGCATACATACATAAAGTACTAAAATATTATAAATCTTAAACACTGCTATGTAAAATTCAGGGAAGATACAACACATAAGAATCAATTAATTTAATACTATTTGTAGGAATAAGGAAAGCATATCATCTAAAAACAGGAAAAAAAAACCCATAACCACTACATAATTGACAAAATAACACTGACCAAGTGAATATTAATGAAAGTATTTCATCATAAAAAGGCCTTACTTTAAAACTCAGAGCTAACATTGTACCTAAGAAAAAGTCAGTCAAAGCCTTTCTATAGAACCATGAACACATAAGGATTTCTGATTTATAAAAAAACTAAATATATAAGATGTCAGTTTCACTTACAGTACTGTGCACATATCATGTACCCTCTATCAGAACAAAAACAAAGTCAATGAAAATATTTTTACAGAATAATTTTAAATTTATGTTAAAAATCACATATGCCTCTTCTAGGACACATACTGAGGGAAAATCCTGGAAGAAAAAAAGGGTAAAACTTATTACCAAACTAAAAACTACGTGCTGGTGACATGGTAACATAAACACAGAAAATTAATCAAAAGGAAATTTTATAAAGAAAATTTTATATGATTTACCTAGTGACTTTTAAACAATACTTTTCACAATTCTATATAAGTATATAATGCAGTTTGAACAATTCATGAACATCACAAGCTTGTCCCCCTCCTGCTCTAATTTTGTCCTTTCTTCTTAACAAAACAATGTACACCTCTTCTTCCTACTTGTGTTTGTAGATCTTTTTTTTTTATGTTTGCAGTTCATTTCATTTAACCAAGACTACATACAAAAACACAGCTGTAGGAGCAGAGGTAGTTAATAGCCTGAAGACCTCCACAACACTAGGGAGCCACACCTGGTTCCCACAGACACTTATGCTACCTTAGTCATCTTCCCCAAACCCTTATCTCGTCACTGTTTCTCAATCAAGATATGGAAAAGGTCACACACAGTTTATAAATAGTTCCAATATAATCATTCTGTAAGATTTGTTATACATATGGCATTCTGGTAATTATCACCAGGAGACCTTGTTTCCAAATTGTACTGTGCTTAAATATGCCTGAAATAAACTACCTGGTGTTAGAATCTACAAGTTTGAACCAATACGGGCAACTAGGTTCTGGAAAACCAAATTTCCTTCTTGTCACACAAATTGACACTGTTAGCCATGGACCCCATAACTGGCATCCAATATTGGGCACTTGACCCTTGGAGAAGGCAAGAAAAATTTTATTTAAACATAAATAAGGGGCAGTGAAGGGAGTGAGCCCAATAGTAGACAAGTCCCAAGAAGATGTAAAAAGTAAGCAATGGAAGGACTGAGAACAGGCATGATAGTTGGAAGAATCTTGCAGACTGACTGACTAGCAGCCAGAGTGCTTCTTTATTTACACAGAATTTAGTAAACAGGGATAGATTCATCTTGCTTATTTCAAAATATAGATCATGTCATTTTTGGGTTTGGATATAAGAAGGTATATGTTGTGCTCAGATTTTAGTCATCACTGATAAACTATGTCAGAACTATTCTTTTCCAATGATCTTTCCTCAATCTTTGACATCACTGATAGAGTTAACAATTTTACTTTTTAATCCTATAAACATTTCTTTAAGAATCTAAAGGCATATGACAGCCTCTTCTCAAGCTAGTAGCTTTTATAGCTACAAGGACACTACCACAACAAAATCTCCAAGCCAGCCTGGGCAGATCACCATGTTCCAAGCAATGTAGGATTAATTCTTAATGGTCAGACTGCCCAACAAAAATCCTCAGGCAAAAACTGTTGCAGGGGGACGGGGAGCTCGGGGGTTTCTTGGCCCCCTGTCCTGCTTGGGCTCTCTGCTGCCTCTTTCTTCCTGGCCCACCCAGCTTCCGTCCAGAGCCCTCCCCACTTCGCCCCCACTGCCCTCTTTTGGCGCGTGGCATCGCCCAGCGCAGCCTATCTGGGCGCTGGGTCCGAGTACCCGGGGCTCCCGGGCGGGCAGCAGTTCCTTTGTTTCTGTGGCCTGCCTGCACCAAGCGGGGTAGGCGCTTGGTCTGCGAGCTGCCCAACCAGCACGGAGGCCTGATCTTTCGGCGCCAGGAGACCCAGCATTGGGGTGAGTTTCTGGCCCACGGCGCCAGCCTGGGACGGGGAGCTCGGGGGGTTTCTTGGCCCCCTGTCCTGCTTGGGCTCTCTGCAGGGCCTCTACTCCCCGGGTGCTGCCTCTTTCTTCCTGGCCCACCCAGCTTCCGTCCAGAGCCCTCCCCACTTCGCCCCCACTGCCCTCTTTTGGCGCGTGGCATCGCCCAGCCCAGCCTATCTGGGCGCTGAGTCCGAGTACCCGGGGCTCCCGGGGGGCAGCAGTTCCTTTGTTTCTGTGGCCTGCCTGCACCAAGCGGGGTAGGCGCTTTGTCTGCGAGCTGCCCAACCAGCACGGAGGCCTGATCTTTTGGCGCCAGGAGACCCAGCATTGGGAGAGCCAACATTGGGG